CTTATTTGCAGTTTCTAAAGTCAACCACACCATTTCAAAGGAATTCAAAGATAACTTTAAAATTTGCCTTCAAAAAAATGTATCGTTTTTGGTAAAATATTTTTCTTATTTGGTTATTCCACCTTTTTCCCCCTATTAGCAAGAGTTAGCTTAGTGCTTATTTTTTAGCCAGGCTTCTTTATTTGCTTCAAAGAGCCCTTTATTATTTCTAAATACTACAATTATTCGTAGCTATCTATTTGACTTAGCTAATTTTCAAGTAATGTTTTGCATGCCTACTTTTAATTTACAAACTGGTCACTAATTATTTGGATTAATCTATATTGATTCTTCATTTGTCAAAAGACCAGTAAAGAATTACGACAGAGTAATTTAGACTATATTAGAATTCATTAAGTTAAAATATTGACCTGGAGTAATTGGACCAAGAGAAGCCGGGTTTCGGAGAATTTATTATTATTATTATTATTAGAGTTATATTGATGGCTCTTTGATTAAGTTTGCAAAGTTAGATAGGTGGGATCTGTTTATTCGCTTTGCCGGAATCATAGGGAGCATTGTCTTGGAATTTTGACTGTTGAACTGAGTAGAGAAGACCTCGTCTCCTGCGGCTCTTATAAACCCGTACTAAGTTTTAAATGTAGTGAGACAGACATCCTCAGAGCCAGAAACCATCGTAATCAAATGCATCAAAGTACTAAACCAAGTGTCACATGACATATGAAAGGTCGGCACAGATTCCTCGTGGCTGCAGGACGAGGCAAGGTCTTTTACGCACAATCCAATAGTCACGGTTCCAAGGAAATCCTACTTTGGCTGCCGGTGAGGCAAATTTCTGAATTCCTTCCACCCATTAAAAAAAATAAATGTTAGATACGACATTTACTTCGTGATTACTTTTCAGTCGATTTCAAGCCACTTAATATTTAGTGTAGATTATTGTCTTCACTTTTCTTAGCATTCTTTATTTGAAGGCTCTAGGCCGATTTATTCACTCTAACTTTCAAAATATCTTTTTGCTCCATTCCTATATCTCACTTCCTTGACTAGTCAACTGACGATTTGGCCACAGAGCACCACCAGATGCTCTCAGACTTCTCCAGCCTCCAGCTGCCAGATCCTAGTGAACCTTTTGACCCAATTAGTGAGAGTATCAACATGTCTGAAGACAATAATGAAATGGTATCCCACCTTAAATCTCCAGCCAACGTGTCCATAGGCCAAGAGCTTTCAGGTTCCTCAGCCCTGACCTCTGACTCGCTTCGGGCTCATAAGCCAAGTTCTCTTTCTGTGGACACAGATGATTGTTGCTTGGACTCTCAATGCTTACTCCACGCACCCTGTAAAGCTCTCCAGGATGAACCACATGATAAACTGGGACGTCTCAATCTGGCCTGTGAACATCGATCAGAAACACACAAGGCGTCGATGCCATTGGTCAGCAGAGTATTTTTCGTACAT